AAATAGATTGAGAAGTCATCTTTCATCTATAGTTTTTTTTTTTTTAAGATTTTATTTATTTATTTGACAGAGAGAGACACCGCGAGAGAGGGAACACAAGCAGGGGCAGTGGAAGAGGGAGAAGCAGGCTTCCCACAGAGCAGGGAGCCTGATGCGGGGCTTGATCCCAGGACCCTGGGATCATGACCTGAGCCGAAGGCAGACGCCTAATGACTGAGCCACCCAGGCGCCCCTTTCATCTACAGTTTTCTAGAAGATTTTGTATAGAGTTGACTTTATTTCTACCTTAAATGTTTGATGGATTTTATCAGTGATTGCACCGGGGTCTAGAGATGGGTAAGGTGGGGTTAATTATGAATTCAATTTCTTTAATATAAGGATATTCAGATTGAGTGTAAAATTCTGCTTGAGTTTTCTTTGATAATTTCTATCTTTCAAGAAATTGGCCCATTTCAACTAAATTTTAAAACTTAGTGGCATTAATGTGTTCATAATATTTCTTCTTCCTTTAATGTCTGTAGTATTTGTACATGCCACTCTTACATTCCCAATATTGATATTTTGTATTTTCTCTCTTTTTTCTTGATCAATCTAATTAGAATTTTATTAACATTACCAATTTTAGAGAACTAGATTTTTACTTTATTGACAGTTTCTAGTATTTATCAATTTTCTATTTTATTGGTTTCTGATCCTGTTATTTTCTTCCTTCTTATTCTGAATTTAATTTTCTTTCTAGTTTTTTTGATGTGGAACCTTAGGTAATTTATTTCATATGTTTTTCTTATAATATAAATATTTTAAAGCTAAAAATTTATCTTCAAACACTGTCTTAGCTGCATCCCACAAATTTTAACATGTTGCATTTTCACCTTCAGTAAATTGAAAGTACTTTCTAACTTCCTTGTGATTTATAATTTTATCCTTGGATCATGCAGAAATACATTTTTTAACTTCCAAATATTTGGGATTCTCCAGATACATTTTTATCATTAGTTTTGAAGTTAATTGTGTTGTAGTGAGAGAACAAATTCACAAAGAGGCACATTACAAGCCATATTGAAGGAAACATCTCAAGGAGCTACAGGTGGGCATGGGAAAGAGTGAATGGGCAGAGGATTGAGAAAGCAAAGAAAGCCCAGTCAGGACAGCATAGCTGGGGAGTTAATCTTCTATTTTCATGTCTAAGACAGAAAGCATGATCCTAAGGACAAAGTTGAAGTTTGAGTGTAGGTTGTCAAGAGCCAAGTACCACACCTACTCGACTTCACCCTCAAAACACCTATGCAAGGTAGAATTGACTTAGAGATGAGGAAGAGTAAGGGAGATTAAAATTACTTTGTAATTTTTTAATAAAAGGTAGTATTAGGTCAATTGCAGACTTTGATAGAGTCCCTACATGAATTTGTGAGTCCATTTAAAAAAGTATTTTCTTAAAATTTTATCTGAGAGAGACCATTAAGAAAAAAAGTAAGCATTGTATCCTAGATGTTTAAAACAACTAAATAATGGGAAATTATTCGTGGAAATAATTCCAAGGGCACAGGTTTGGTATTTTGTTGTTTTGGGGGGTTTTTTTGTTGTTGTTTTTTTTACATAAAAGATACTATGTTGAAAATTTTTAAGGAGTAGAAATTAAAGTTAAAATAGTAATATTAATCAAGATTTATATCTCTTGATAATGCATACTGAGAAAAAAAAATCATCACTTTTGGGGCACCTCTGTGGCTCAGTCAGTTAAGCCTCTGCCTTCACCTTAGGTCATGACCTCAGGGGCTGGAACCGCACATTGGGCTCTCTGCTCAACAGGGAGCCTGCTTCTCCCTCTCCCTCTGTCCCTCCCCCTGCTCATGAGTTCTCTCTCTCTCTCAAATAAATAAATAAAATCTTTTTTCAAAAAATCATCATTTTAAGAAGCATAATTATTTGGTGAATTAAAGGAACATAAGCTTAGAGTTCCTTTGTCACCAAAAGCTGCCCCGCTTCCTGAGTTCCCACAGGAGCAAAGATCCAGTCATCACATAATTCTGTGCTATAAGTCTAATTTAATACTCATCTTCTCCTCAAGTGGATCTTTCAGTCCCTTCAGATTGACTTATTCACAACCACATACGAAAACACACATACGCAGACACAAGGACTACCCACCAGCTGCGCACTGCTCTTTTACTGACTTACCTTTTCGAATGTGGATTAGTCAGGGTTCTCCAGAGAAACAGAACCAACATAATATGAATATATGTGCACATCTGCTTGATAGGTGGCGTGGGCCAGACTCCTTACGGACGAGCCTGGGAAAGGGGTCTCTGGCACCTGCGCCACGCAGGTGTTTCTCATCACAGGAATCCCCTGCCGGCGCTGGGCTCAGGTGGAGGAGCTCCGAGATCCCGCGAGATGGGGCTCCCTCTGGGGAGAGTTGTTCACCTGCGCAGTCCTCAGGCCTGGTTCAGCCGTCCTCTGAGCCACCTCTGATGCTCAGCACATCCCAGCCCATCCTGGCCCTGCCCTGCCGTCCAGACCCACACCTACTCCTACATATCAAATTAAAGGGAAAAAAAATCTCTCTCTCTCTCTCTCTCTCTCTCTCTCTCTCTCTCTCCCCCCCCCTCAATCCCTCTCCCTCACTCGCTCTCTCCCTTTCCAAGTCATGTAAGACCTTATAGCAAGGATATAATAAGGAGCTCAAAATTTCCTGTAAGAGCAATGGAAAACAGTTCAAGGAGAGTGACATGATCTATCTCTGTCTAGCTAGAGAGAGAGAGAGAGAGATTTTCAGGAATTAGCTCATGTGGTCATGGTGACTGGCAAACTCAGAAATCCATAGGTAGGCCTGCAAGCTGGAGTCTCAGGGAAGAGCGGCAATTGAATTCCAAGGGTGATCTCTTGGCAGACTTCTCTCTTCTTCAAGGGAGGTTAGCCTTTTTCTATTAAAGATGTTAACTGACTGGATGAGGACCACCCATATTTTGGAGAATAATGCTTTACTCAAAGCCTACTGATGTAAAAATCTCATCTACAAAATACCTTCACAAAAACATCTAGAATCATGTGTGATCTGATATCTGGGTACTGTGACCCAACAAGGCTGACACATAAAATTAACCATACAAATGGCTTCTGCAACTCCTGTCACAGTGTTACTTGTCCCTTCTGGTCTAAAAGTGACCTAGTTCCCTAATCCTATAAATCTATTCTGATCTTTTATCTGAATTCTTCTGTTTTGTACTACTACTTTAGGATCTTATGCTGTGAAAAATGACATTTGAAAGCCTTAGAAAGTGTATTAGCTCACATTTTTACTTGTTATCTCTGGGTTTGTGGAATGTGAATCTCCTTGAAAACAGAGACTCTGTTGCATTTCTCCAGCACCTAACACTATGTCTTGGAAACAGTATTAAATCAAACAGTATTGAATAACTGTGATCTTTCATTCAAAAAAATTTTTATGCTCCTGCATGAGAATGCATAAGAATATGTTTCACAGGCTCATATGTATATATATGATATATATGTTTTATTCATTGATATAGCCCCAGTACCTAGAAGAGTGCCTGGCTCATATCACCTTAACAACCATTTGGTAAAGAAATTAGAAATAGTCAATGGTGCATAAGGAGGGAATTAAATACAATATAAGTTCTATGGAAGAGGGGATCTTGTGCTTCTGGTATATACTCCAAGCACCTGACACAACTCTAGACATGTATTAATTGCTCATTAAATGAACTGTACTGACCCTAGCAAAAATTCAACAGATTCTCCGTATTACCAGTTACCACCTTATGGATAAGTGCTTTTATTTGCTAAAAAGAAAATCCACAATATAGGAATGGTGTTGTCAGATTATAGTAAATAAAATGAAAATAATGACTATTTCATTTTTTTATTCCAATAGAGCTTATTATGCCTCATTGGCATCTTTAACTTGAATTCTATTATTGAATCACCTCCAAACTAAAATATTGCATATTTTTAAAGTAAAACTGAATATACTCTATATATTTTAGCAAGAAATGTTAAGTTTTAAACATCTTTCAGATATCTTTGTAACCTTACAAAAAATACAACTAACATATATATTTTTTAAGATTTTATTTATTTGAGAGAAAGAGCATGAGCAGGGAGGGGGAAGAGGGAGAAGGAGAGGGGTGGAGGGAGAGGGAGAAGTAGCTTCCCTGATGAGCAGGGAGCCTGAATTGAGGTTCCAACCCAGGTTCCATTCCAGGACCCCAAGACTATGACCTGAGCCGAAGGCAGAAGCTTAACCGACTGAGCCACTTAGGCACCCATAACATATGTTTTTTAAATATCCATTCTACGCTAGTAAAATAAAAGTCAAAATTAAAATGATCAATTTCATACTTTTATAATATGTATTCCAAGAACAAACATTCAGCATGCTTCTTTTTCTCCTTAAGTGTTTAACTTTCAATATTTAAAAAATGTATGTATTAATGTGGCTATTTGATGAAAGTTCTTAGATTACTTAATTCATTTACACAAGCTTTTTGGCAATAGGATAACCAGAAACTCCTGCTAAAAGACACTGCTGCAATGATAAGATAAAATGTATATTTTATTTAAGGTCTAATGTTTCATTAATTCCACACAAGAAAACTAAGAACTAAAAACACAATGTTTTTAGGTTTCAATTTTTACTTATTTTCATAATGAGATCAACAGAGAAGTTGGTGTTAGAATTGGGGAAAGAAGATCATTTTATATTTACATGACTAAAATGTCCATGTAGATGACCTCTCATGCAGAGATGTGATTACATCAGTCATCTCCAAACCCTCAAGTCCATCGTTCCTATAATCCCTGTATGTGCATATTTTTATGTGCATGTGTGTGCATATATGTGCATCAAAACCAGGCTTTTTACTACATGAAATGAACATAGAAAAGGAAGTCCGAGTAGATTACTTTCTGTAATTATCTCATTTCTCTTGTAAAATTGGTAACTAATGTAATAAAAGTATTTACTTTTCCATCCATAGGACCTAATTGGTGACCTGAAGGAGAAGCTTTCAGATCACTTCAAAGATGTCATGGTTGGCCTCATGTACCCACCGCCATCTTACGATGCTCATGAACTCTGGCATGCCATGAAGGTAGTGGTCTGACACAAAAATATACCTATAATAGGGGTGCCTGGGTGGCTCAGTCCTTAAGCATCTGCCTTCGGCTCAGGTCATGATCCCAGGGTCCTGGGATGGAGCCCCACATCGGGCTCCCTGCTCAGCGGGAAGCCTGCTTCTCCCTCTCCCACTTCTCCTGCTTATGTTCCCTCTCTCACTGTGTCTCTTTCTGTCAAATAAATAAAATCTTTAAATATATATATATATATATATATATATATATATATATATATATATATATATATATCTGTAATAAGTACAAGGCAGTATTTCAGTAGAGAGGAAACTACCCTGTGATGTTGCTGTATGTGATCAGGGGTTGGGGAGGGAATATCTGAGCAAAAATAAAACAACGAAAATGTTGTGCTCAGGAGAAGTGACCCTATTAAGAAGAGGGGCTTCTATACCTTAGTAGCTGGGATCAGCCTGTTCTTTTGCTGTACAAACTCAGATCCACTGACCCAGCTCTATGCCAAACTACCAAAAGAAAAAACTAAATAAGCTTCCAGGGTTGTTCATATTCATCTCTTCCTAGTATGTATTCATAAATTAAGCAAAAATGTTCTAAGTCATGTGAACCTCTTTAAATTATTTGTAAAAATTGGACTCACTAAGTAAAAATGGGAAACTGAGTCAGAGACAAAATATAAATGACATCTTTATTTTTGTGACCCTAAGAGTCCTTTACAAAAACCATTGCTCAAGTGTATAAAAATTTTACTTCTGAAGAATTAAAAATAATGTCCTTACAGGAAAGTCATTTCCATGAAATAAATTGACTACAGATTTGTTAGAGACTTTGTTGGCTATGGATGGGGTACAAAAGGCTTTTTACATCTTTCCAAATACTGATATTAAACACCTGTAGAACTGTTGCAATCATTCCAATACCATGCCTGCCAATGACCAGATTACTCAATCTGTGAACAATGTGTGACAGGAAAGAGGAAAGGGGAACAAATTAAGGGAACCTGGATTTTGGCCATCATATTTGCAGATGAGAATAGACATTGTATAAAATTCATATGCATTTCAACCAATCGCTTTTTTATAAGTTGCATATGGCAATTCCTACCTCTTGCAAAATGATGTGACTACAAACTATAAGAAGGAAGTCTCAGGTTACTGTTTAGATAAACTGTTATATTTTATCAGTATCACATGGAATGGTAAGGATTTATGAAACTTCCTGGAAGAGGTGTTGTCTTTATGATCACTAGCACAGAAAAATAGATGCATATAGCTATAAGAGACCGTAGAAAGTACCCAGTCCAATGCTTAGACAGATGGTACAAAAATCCACATTTAGGGAGAGGCAGGGAGCCAGACCTGAAACATCTTTAGGAAACTAGGAGACCCTGGTTCTAATTTCAGCTTTCCAAAGACTGATATTCTAGTAGCAAAAAAAATCAGTGTCATGAGCCTTGTTCAAACATCTTTTTCCACATCATTTAGAAATGCCTATGTTGTTTTATTCTAAATGAAGGAACAGGGTTTCAGAAAATAGTATCCTCCCAGGGTCAAGTGGCTAGTAAATAGCAGAGCCAGAACTGAATTGGGCCTATCTTTATCCCAAACATGCTTTCTTTCTCCTCCGCCACCTCTCAGAATACCAGGAATGTTGTAAATCCTTATTATACATAAGATGCACTATTATTCCCAATACAAATGCCTTTATATTTCTCCCTTTCTCTGTATTACAGGGAGCAGGCACTGAAGAAAATTGCCTCATTGATATTTTAGCTTCAAGAACAGATGGAGAAATTTTCCAGATGCGAGAAGCCTACTGTTTGCGTAAGGAAGTATACATATGTACATATATTTTACACACATATAAGCTTTATATTTTTCAAATAGCACACAAAATATTCCAGTTTATGTGTTTTTAAAAATTTTCTAAGACACCCTTATATTTGAAATATCACTCACTCAAGACCAATTAACTCACTAAGTAAAATTGATGATTAGGTTCTCAAAACTGAACCAATTCTCTAGACAATCAAGTTAAGCAAAGTTTCCAGGAAAATAATTGCAAGTTTCTATGAGGTGAGTGTTTACATTAATTCAGGCAAGTGCCCAGCACCATGTGTAAGGACCATTTTATTTCTTACCCAGGAGAAACCAGGTATCTAGACAAAATAGAGCAAAGAACAATAACTGCTTAGCAAATTTGACAAATATGGTTAACTACTTCACTTCATGTAAATCTCGTAATCACTGTGATCTATCTCAAAATCAGATTTTTACACATTTTAAAAGTAGAAAAGTTAACTATTTTCATTTTCAAAAAGTTTAATGCCTTAAGTTGCATCGCATCATGTATTACCTCTCACTGAATGTCAAGAAACTATTCTAGACAGTTACCTCTGCTGCATTTGAGCAAGAACAAGGGGAATTTCCCAAAGGGAATGAAGTAAGAACCTTTATTTAAAATATTAAAGGAAACAAAGCACTTGGGGCAAGTGCTGGGCTGCGTAGCAGTCTATGGAAATAGAATGCAGAATTCCGAATTTTGAGAATTAGAGAATGTGCGATGACTCTCGTGTTGTTTTTCAATTTTGGAATAAAGATAATAGCTTTTTAAGAAAACAGACTTGTGCCTATGTTACTGTTAGGTGTCCACATTTCCTTGGTGGACTCTTTAGGAGATTGACTTCATCTGAGTAGAAGGCAGTAAAAGACAAAGAAATGTCAACGGATTGATTGTATTTCCTGTACTTTCCCCTCACAACTGAGGAAATAATATTAACTTACTCAAAGTATGTTGATATGTGGTTCTATAATAAATCACACCTTTAACATGGAAGTTTTTTCCTAGAATATAGCAGCAACCTTCAAGAAGACATTTACTCAGAGACCTCAGGACACTTCAGAGATACGCTCATGAACCTGGTCCAGGTATGAAATTCAAAAATTCACACCATTTTGCACTAGTAAAAAATATGTATGTTTCATTTTCAAAAACTAGGACAGAAAACTCCAGTTTAAAAGTAAATTCTGTATAATAATATTTACTGAATACCAGCTAAATTCAAAGCACTATAATAGAAACTTGGCTTGGATATAGAAACAAATGAATATGAATAATACACCACTTCTATTCTAAAAAAATCTACTATATATAAGACAATTATGATTATAGACACATACATAAATAATTAGGTTCTAGCTCTCTGTCTAAAGAGCTAATAAGTAGAAATCCAGAATTTGAATTGAATCCTTTAGACTCCCAAGTGCCAGCATAAGATCCTCAGCACTGCCTCTGAAAATTCTGTGCTACCATTCATCACCACAAAAGAACACTACTTCAAATTAAAATTAAAATTTGACACTTATTTTGTTTTTCTGCATTGACAAGATGGTACGTAATTATTTCATTCAATTAGTATTTCTTGAAAACATCCCACATACTAACATTGTAATAATATTTTTAGATATAATTAATCTTTGTTTTATGCATATTCTTAAATATGCCTGTCATCCAATTCAGCAAAGACATTCAGGAATGTAAAAAGAATCAATGTGCAGTTCTTTACTATCAAAAAAAAAATCTACTATCTTTTTTTTAACATATAATGTATTATTTGTTTCAGAGGTACAGGTCTGTGATTCATCAGTCTTACACAATTCACAGCAAACAATCAATCATGGAACACTACATCAAAAACTAATGATGTAATGTATGGTGATTAACATAACATAATAAAATAAAATTTTAAAAAAAAAGAAAGAAAATCTAAAAGTTCATAGCTGGGAAAAATGTCTCAAGAACCAGTATTTTGGTTTGGTTTATGTTGTATGAGTGTGTGTGTGTGTGTGTAATGAAAGAAGCACTTCTAAATCCCCCAAACTTGGGATGCTTGGGTGGCTCTGTTGGTTAAGTGTCTGCCTTCCGGTCAGGTCATGATCCCAGGGTCCTGGGATCAAGTCCTGCATCGGGCTCCCTGCTCCGCGGGGAGCCTGCTACTCCCTCGACCTGCTCTTCCCCCCTGCTTGTGTATTCTTTCTCTCTCTCTCTCTCTGACAAATAAATAAATAAAATTTAAAAAAATAAATCCCCCAAACTTTTCTCTTTATGTCAAGAACATAACCAAGTAGTTGGTAGTTAGCACAAAATTTCACTCAGAAACATTAAGTAGATAGAATTTTATACATGGGGATGTAAAATTAAGAAAAGACTTCATTGCCTTTAAAGAAAAAAGAATAAATGATAGCCCTTTTAGGGAATAAAGGTGGAAGAGCAATACCTAGAAAGAGAGCAAAAGACCAAGAAGGAGGAGACTAGGGTGAGAATGCTGCCAGAGGACCTGGGAAACCAGGGCCCCACACGTTCAGGAGGGGAGTCCAAATCACCAGATGAAAACATGGGATAGAACATGGAATGTTCTTTCTTCCTTTTCCCTGAGCCACTCCTGTACCAACTGCCTCTATGAGTCGCTAGATTTTTTTTAACCTAAACATTTCTATGGCCACTATTGCCAAACTCTATATATTCTTGCTTGTCCTGTATCCTCTTCTGGTTTATCTGAAGTGGTACTGTGCACTCTGTGAGGGTTGTATCTCTTTCACAGCTCGATTGTGGCAAATTTAGAGATCTAGCAGTTTGTTTGCAGCTTGAGTAGCCCACTTTCCTTTAATCTGGATTCATGATGTCCTTGAAAATGTAAATATCTAAGAAACTTAGAAGAATTCTAAGGTAATTGCTTCCAGGGAATACTGTATACCACTTAGCCATACCCAAACTTCTCTCCTAGACATATTTCTCTGCATCCTTTCACTCTCCCTGACCATATTTCTTGTTTTTCACGACTTAAAGCCAGTTCCTTGAAAGTCCTCTCAGATAATAAATTTAGTCAGATACTTGCTGCAGGGGTGAGTCTTAAAAGATGTTTGCTTTTCAAATCTTCGTCAAGATTGCTTAGAGTCAGTGGTTTCCCCTTTGAACTGTTAGAGACACCAAATACCTGGACTTTCTCTCTACTCTCTTTTATTTCTGCTTGCAAACCGGCCAATTATTTACTGAGCTCATCTCTTTCTGGTAATACATGGCCCAAAACATAAAGTAAATGCCATTTCTCAAGCTCACATGGAGACCAGAACAGGTGCTACTGATCAGAATACGGCACTCCTCCAAGAAGTGATTCAGAGACTCAGTCTCTTTCCATCTAGTGGCTAATCTAGCTTTCCACCTTCCCTCTAATTTCATCATGCCTGTCCTCAATCTACAAAAACAGAAAGACACTGGAGGATTGTTCCTGGGAATTTTTATGGGCCTCGCTGTGATGTCTATCACTTTTGCTCACATTTCATTGGCTAGACCTCCATCAGATAACTCCCCTTAATATCAAGGGTCGCTATGGGGTGCCTGGGTGGCTCAGTTGGTTAAGCGACTGCCTTCGGCTCAGGTCATGATCCTGGAGTCCTGGGATCGAGTCCCGCGTCGGGCTCCCTGCTCAGCGGGGAGTCTGCTTCTCCCTCTGACCCTCCTTCCTCTCATGCTCTCTGTCTCTCATTGTCTCTCTCTCAAATAAATAAAATCTTTAAAAAAAAAATATCAAGGGTCGCTGTAAAATATATCCAGTTGTTTGTCCTCAAAGATGAAACAAGTTTGGAGATCAGCTATCAATGTGAAAATGAGAATTAAAAAGCTGCAACCAAAACAGGCCAGTGAGCAACAGAAGATGGAAGAATGAAAATATTTATGGCAATAAACAGGAAATCTATGAGGATGACTATTTTGGGCACAAAAATAGAGAATGTCCCAAGGGATAGCAATGAATTAAAAAAGGAACAAATAAAATGTCCTGCATTATTTCTTAAAAGTACTTTAAAGGGCAAATGTCTTTGCATTTTTATTCATGCTTTAAGTTTTTTGACATAACCTTATTGTGTCACCATTTTTGATCTTTAAAAGATGACTGTTTGAAAGTTTCTTGGTCCTACTTCTAATCTTACCTGTAGAATGATGATGTTCATCATACTATATACTATGTAATAGTATACAATTTTAATCTGAATATATTAGCTATATTTTAAATTTCTATATAACTAATCCTATCATGGATAATTAATTCATATGAGATGAAAAAAACCAACTCCATTTTAATCTTTTATTCCTTCTGTTTTGTTTTCAGCCTTGATAAACTATGTATGTGTAAAAAAATATCAGTCCAACATTTACCTGTATTTGATTGATTCCTGAGTTATTCCAACAAGCAAATTTCAGAAAAGCTAATACGAAAGCTAGTATGGGAGTAATCAGTTCCCATCAAGCTTCTGATTGACCCTGCTCTTCAAAGCCTCCTTCTGCTCCATGGGAATTGCTCTCCTCCGAGCCTGTTTTATGTATTTCTAGTCTATCTTACCATATAATGTGGGATGTGTATACATACCCACCTATCCCAGTAGCTTCAGTTTCCCAATCATGAGAACTATGTCCTATTCAACTTTATAGTCTTAGAACAAGGGTCTGTGTATGATACGTGGAAAGCAAGTCAGATTTTTTGGGAATAAATGCTGCAAAGAACAAATTCTTTAAAAAGTCTGAGTGAATAAAGAATAACAAGGAAACAAGGAAGCATTCAGTATGGGAAAGAAAATACAGAATATTCCCCAGCTATTCAGGAAAACACACCCATAGCCATATGCTGATTTTTTCCCGAAATTACAAATTCAAATATTTACCTTACAGAGATTTCTATTTTTTTAATTCTACAAAGCTTAGTTTTTTAAAAAACAAAGTTTTTTAAAACTTTTCTGAAGTTAAAGTATTGTATTACTGTACACAAGAAAGATAAATATTAAGAATTATTTCTACCTTGTCTAAAACTAGTCTGTATACAAAAATAGTTAAAGTGAGAGCATGACTATTATTAATGAATTTTTCTTCTAAGATATCAATGGCAGTGAATTACTACTTCATTTTCCTTCTTTTCTTACTTATGTTATTTTGCTGTCTTCTTCATTTGGGGTGGATTAACATGTCCAATCAAACACAGGTGGTATGGTTTCCCTTAATATATGTTTGTTATGATTAAAAACTTCATGTTGGGGCACCTGAGTGGCTCAGTCATTGAGCGTCTGCCTTCGGCTCAGGTCATGATCCCAGGGTCCTGGGATCAAGCCCCGCATCGGGCTCCCTGCTCCGTGGGAGGCCTGCTTCTCCCTCTCCCACTCCCTCTGCTTGTGTTCCCTCTTTCTCTGTGTCTTTCTCTGTCAAATAAATAAAGAAAATCTTTTTTAAAAAAAAACTTCATGTTGTACTTCACACATATTTTGTATGATTGAATTCAAGAATTAATAAATATATTAGATTGGAGCACTAACTCTCCATTCATTACCAGACAACATGGATTTTACTTCTTTTTTATCCTTTTTATGCGGTATGGGTGTGTGTGCCCAAGTTATTCTCAGTTTTGAATTAGGAATAAAAATTCCTAAGGAAAACATTGTTGAGGAAGCCAAGTATTAACTGCACCAGATCAAGGAGAGATTGGTAATTTGGACTGACTGGATTTCTTCAAATTGTTCACTTGAAAAAGGTGATATAGTACTAAGCAAATCCACTGACTTTCAGTTAAATTAAAAATTTTCAGGAGCTCCTGGAGGGCTCACTCGGTTAAGTGTCTGCCTTCAGCTTCTGTCATGGTCCCAGAGTCCTTGTGATGAGCACCCAATGTCTTATGGAAGTGTTGTGTACCTGAAACTAATATTATACTGTATATTAACTAACTGGAATTTAAACAAAAACTTTAAAAAAATTCTCTCAATTTAAAAAGGTCATAATTTGTTAATTTTCAACTAATGATGCTACAAAATATAAATTAAAACAACAGTTTCCCAGTCAGAAATTCATATCGGCATAGACATTGCCCCTAATAAAGGAAAGCCAATGGTCC